TAGCCTGGAGCCTCAACCACTAGACCAAACTGGCTCTCCTACATACTTTTAATTTTATGGTTTAATTGTTGACAGCTACTTTTGGAGGACTTCTGTCTACAATATTTTTTGAGGATAAATACTAGAAACTTTAAAATATGTTTGAGTTAAGATACTTGGATAACTATCTACTCTTTGTTGTATTTTAGCTTTTAGATATTATTTGCAGGCTCCTTTTGTTTTGGAGCGCCTGGAAATACTTTAAACTGTTTCTCTGAATGTTAGCTGTTTCCTGTGTTCTTTTTGTGAGCTACTCAGAGGGGGAAAAGTATGTGAACACAGCTCTTCCTGTATTCATTTTTAAAACTAAAGTAAAATGAATTCCTTAATTTGAAATAGATTGTGAGGGGGAAAAAACCCTGTAGTTTTACTGCAATAAAATGCTTTGAACAATCCTAACATAAATCATTTCCTAATTGGATCATGTTGAACTTCTCTTACTTAGTGAGAAAAACCCTGTTACTTGAAGGAGTTGTGTAGATTTCTCATGTGATGTGGGTTAACACAGATGTCTTTTTTTCAAATTAGAATCAAGTAGTCTGCCTTTTGTTTAACAGCAACCTGAAGATTTGGTAGTCAAAATGATGAGCCCATTGTTCATTTATAAATTTTATTTCAGTTAGAGCTTTTGTATGTTTCTTGATAAAATCACAAGGAAATGAATCCTGAGCTTAAAGTCGAATTAAATGGGTTTAAGCTCTGTAAAGTCTGCTGAGTTATGATCCAAACTATCCTCAGAAGCTGTTTGGTTATTTCAGCAGCGGATCCAATGAAATAAACATGAAAAAACTGTAAGCATGTCAACCTATAGATAAATGAAGTTAGGATGTATTAGCAAATCCCAGTACTGTGAGCTTAGTTACCATATAGTTTGGTTTTCTTTGGACCAACCAGTTGTACGTAAATGCAGAGGGTGCCATAGAAAGATGGAGCATGTATTTAGAGCATCTCTTGCATTGAAAGCATAGGTATAGCTGCCAGACTACAGTTTTAATTAGTTGAGGTATTAGTGTTAAATGTCGTTTCCTGGAATTGAATTCTCTTGAAATGCTCTAGTAGCATTTAAATTATGTATGTAATTATTTTGAAAACTGGAAAAGTTCAAAGATGAGTGCTTCAAGAAATATTTATTACTATCTTTTTAAAGGTAATGTTTGAGTGCAGTGTGATATTATAAATTAGTTTAAATGATATTGGGGGACTAGCATTTTACTATGTTAATGTACTGTAGTACAAACTTTTCGATAGTTTTAGCTGTTGTAAATCACTGACTTTGTATTAAATGTCATAGGTAAATCATCTTTGACCTTCAGGCTGAATTAAAACATGTCCTACTGTTAAAAACTGTCACTTAATGATTACATTTCTAATAGAGGTATGAAAAACATTCTGAGATTTGTTTTAAGCTTGAAAAAATCCTTACCAGACTGTTTCAGTATTGTCTATTCCAGAAGTGTTCCTAGCTCAAAATTGATATTTTGAGTTTGAAAGAGAGCTGTTTTTCTGTGCTGTGGAAGCTGTGCTTCCAAAAGGCACATTGGAATATGCATGATAAGCCATAAAGAATTCTCTCAAACTTAAAAAAGATAGTTGGGAGCATAAAATAGGGTCTTTTGAGCTTGAAATGCTTCAAATTTGACGTTTTTTTCATAGCACTAATTTCTAAGACTAAAGAGAGGTACTGTGTAGAATTATATTGTTTGTTTACATTGTTAAACAAACTTGCTTTAACTAAAAGGGAACATGTTTGCAGCAAAGCAATAGTTTCTAGTATCCTTTATTTTTGTAAGCATAGTCAAAATGCTAGTTATATGCATTATCTATTATTTGCTGCCTCTTCAGATTCTTTTTTATCATCAGATATTAAAAAAATCAAATAAAGGAAACTACAAAACAGAAGATTGATAAAGTTCAGAATTTTGTCAGTTGCATAACCATAAAAATATTTTTCTGAGAAGGCTACTGGATCTTTGACTGCTGCTCAGCATGTCAAAATGTGGATGTGATTCTTAATGTGGAGTAAGATCATTTAAAACAGTAGCAACTTGGAGTGGACTGGTGATCAACTATGTTTGGAAGTAATGGTGCTGAGAATTGGGTTAACTGTTTTGCATTGCATAGTTTTTCCAATGATAATTGGCTCTGTCTTTGCTTTTTATACTATAAGTAAAATATAGAAATGTGCTACTTTCCCCCATCATTATGTAAATAGCAGCTGGACTTCCACTGTAAAAACAACAAAAAGGTAAAAAGTTAACTTACCTTCACTGGTTTTGTAGTCATGGTTGGGATCAGAGGTCCTTGTTTTTATGTTTGTTACATTTATGATAATCTGAACATGCATCATCATAATTTTTATCTAGTACTTTATCTAGTTCTTGGGGCTTAATGACTTTGGAAAGTCAATGCTTAAGTTTGTTGTAGTGCAGCAGTTATCAAACATTCTGGGCTCAGAACTCCCTTGCATTCTTAAAAATGATTGAGAACCCCAAAGAGCTTTGGTTTATCTGGGTTACATCTATCGATATTTACTGTATTAGAAATCAAAACTGAGAAATTTTAAAATATTTATTTGACTTTGTGGACCCCCTGAAACGGACTTGGGGACCCCCAGGCTCCTCAGACCACACTTTGAGGACTGCTGTCCTAGTGAAATAAATAGATACTGAAAGTACATAACTTGGAATAGATCTAGGAGAAACAGAATGGATTATAATAATAATAATAATAATAATAATAATAATAATAAGATGATGATGATGATGATGTTATAAAGTATAGGTAATGCAACTTGAACATTAAGAACAAAGAATTTATCAAAACTGTTTCAGTTCAGTGTTTTATATTTTTATTTGCTTTGCCATAGTCTATTATGAAAAAAGAAAATAAGAAAAAAGTCCATACAAAGCACACTTTAAAACCATTTGCAACAGTCATTTAACAGCAGGAACTAATTATAAAATGTTTTCTTCCTCCAAAGAGCAAATAAAAATGCCCAATAGAGCAAGAATAATCTGCATAAGGTATTATAGGTACAGAAAATAAAGTTAGGCTTATTGTTTTGAAAATAAGTAAAGCACTGTGTTAAAAAATGACGTATGCCTTTACTCTGAAATGTTCAAAAGAATTAAAAGTAGGCACATTATTCCATGTAGTAACAGAGTGCCTTACTGCTTTAGTTTGTAGTTCTGCAATGATTTATTTGAGTATTTGTATAAATATAAAGTAAAAACACTTTTATACCTGATTGGAAGGCTATATTGATGCATGGTTCTGTTCTTGAGATCAATAAAACATATATAAACCCTTTTTCCTTTTCTTGTCCCTTACTTTATAATGAAGAATTCCTCTTCCATGCTTTAATTTAGATTTTAAAAGACCAGTTTCTGAAGAGTGGCTAAAAAAAACCATCACCAGAAGTGAATTTGAATAAAAAGCACATATAAACTCATACCAAATTGTTTTCTGTATAGATGCATCTATACTAACACATATGTATGTCTGTATTCACAATAGTGGAACTTCTGTTGAATGTTGTTTGGGTTAAATTAAACAATTCAGCTCCATATAGAATCCATTAGTTGTGTCTTGAGTCTTACTTCCTTCTTCCCAACCTTTCATTTTTTCCCATTGCCATTTCTTCTTATGCTTGTGCATTTGCCTTCTCTCTCATTTGCTTGTTCAGGTTCTAATCCCACTCCTGCTTCTTTTGGCTCTTGGTTATCCATTTGCCTCTGTCAATACTTCTTTCTCCCATTCCTTCCCATGGTCATCCATGTTGCTTCCTCCTCTCCTGCATTTGAATCAGAAGGTACAGTTAATTGTTTGCAGGATCATACATGCACTTTCATTCCTTTGTTATTTTTCCTCTGTTTTTTAGGTGCCTGCACAAATATGTAATCCATTGGGATGGAGTGGGGGTATGACTTTAAAAGTGTGCATGTGTTCAGGATTCATCCAGTCATGCAGACATTTCCTTACTGGTTTTCTATGTCCCAATTGCTTGTAAAGCTGTCAGTACATTGAGATAGAGTTCAGTGTTTGAAGGAGTAAGATCTTATAATTGGGAATGAAATCTTATTAGTCTGTCTTTCATCTCCCTGGAAAAAAGTGGAAACTGGCTGAGATATTAGGCATATATTTCTTATCCCAGTTTTTAAAACAGATCTTTTGTCACTATTCATCTTGTGGATAGTACAGTCCTATGCATACTGTACCTGGGATTTCTTTGAATATAATGGTGCCTGTGTAAGTGTGTGTGTGAATACACACACACACACACACAAAGTCACACATGCTTATTCTAACATTTTTCAGGAATTGTGCTGTCATCCAGGCTGGAAGAATATTATATAATACAAAAAAGTCCTAAATGAGGACCAATATTGTATAGTGATTAAGGTGCTGGATTAGGAGTGGGGAGACCCAGGTTCTAGTTCTCCCTTAGGCACAGAAGCCAGCTGGGTGACCTTGGGTTAGTCATCCCATCTCAGCCCTAACCAGAGTCAGGCTTTGTGATAAGCTGGCTGAAAAACAAAATTCCTCATTGCTTAATGGATTGCTAAACTTTACTGTAAGAACTAG